AATCAAGGAGAGAAGTAGAGAACAAGAGAGTCAGAAATAAAGAAAGAATACAAAAGTGATGGAAAGTAAAGAAAAGGGAAAAAACGAAAAATTACAAAAAGAATGACTTCTGACTTCTTATACAGCAGGTATAGATAAATCATATAAGAACCTCTTACTCTAAAACTACATCTTAACATACATATTTTGTTTAATCTATTAATTGAACAAATCATCAAATCCATATATCATAATTTCATTTCTTTCCGTCTCCTGCAAAAAGTCCAAAAAGGGTTTCCAACTGGCATTAGTGTTTTTTTCTCTAAGCAGAGCTGTCAATTTTGCCATCTCAGTTAACTCCATTGTCTTCAGCCTCCATTCTTCCATTGTGGGTAATGTCGAGTCTTTCCACCTTTGAGCATATAGAGGTCTAGCTCCAGTTATCATATACTGTATAAAAGCAAAAGTCCATGAGCCTTTTCCAATTGTTTATCCATCAGCCCCAAAAGGAAAGTCTCTGGTTTTAACTGTATATTAACCTTCAAAATCTTCTGAATTAATAGATGAATTTGGGTCCAATTTTTTTAAGCCTTATTACATGTCCACCAAAGACGATAAAAAGTCAAAGTCCACACGTCTTAAAGTTGCCAAGGTTGAGAAACACCGGTCTAGACTGAGGGAGTACAGTTACATTTTTTCCCAGTTTAGGGGAATTGTTCCCAAGTTTCCAAAGTATCATCCAGGAATTCTAAGTAATATTTGCCCAATTGATCACAATATAACCAGATATCATGGGTATCAGCACTAGAACCAGTGAAGTTCTTTAACATAACTTGATTCCCTGAATTAAAAAAAAAAAAAGTAATTATTCCTTGCTGTCAAAAAACAGGCCAGCAGCAACTGGCCTGCTCACAGTCAGTAACTGAAAATTACCAGCAGTAATAAAACCAGCTGGAATGACTGGCCTGTTTTTTGACAGCAAGCAAGCTGTGCTTTCAATGGCATCTCAGTATACACAGTGATGTCACTTTGCAAGCATCACTCTGCAGTGATGTCATGATGCAGACACGTAGAAGAGGGGGTGGGGCTTGTCAAACTTTGCTCTGGACACTCCTGCCCAGGGCCACATAATGACTTTTGTGAGCCCTAGGCATTTTTGCCTCTGTGGGCCCCTGACTCTATAAACACAACAGAATTAAAAATTATATGTCATATGATTTTCAATATTTTATTCATATTTTTACAGAGAAATAGGGAATAGTAAATTATTCATGTATTATTTTGTAATAATGAGTTTTGACAATTAATTATGATGTCTGTCACTTATCATCAAAGTTACTCAGTGTTGGTATTTGCACAGTGCCCATAGATTACAAATAGGATCATCAGTTTCATGTTCAAATGTTATGTTTCTTGCCTCTTTTTTTATTAAAAGGCATGAAAAGAAAGAAACATTTGTTAAAAGGCATGAAAAGAAATAACTTCTTGATTTTTATCCTTTCTGACTGAAAAAAAAAAATAAACCTTTTTGTGAACCCTAGGCCACCCCACCCCCTATCCAACCTGAGGACATTTCAATGGACTCCTTTCACAATCTTTTCCATCTTGGGCACCAGAAATAAGGGGTTGTCTGCACCGTACCTTCTTGTGAAGCGAGCTTGGAAGTTCACAAGGGGAATTTGATGGCTTATTTGCAGTACTGTAGCTTTTTTTAGAAAGACTTTTGATTGTTAGGGATGTGAACTTGGATGGATTGATTTTTTTTTTCCTTTTGTTTTTCTGTTCTCATGGTTGCATCTTTTTTTTTTTTAGCTTCTTTTTCCCCCCTTCTCTTAAGGAACAATATTTTAGCCATTTGCTATACTCTCATTGTATTTTTAATATCTTGCTATCTCTGCATATTGTAATTCTTCCTCTTTACTCATTTTCTTGATTATTTTTAGCCAAAAAGGAAAAGGTGGGATACGTATTTGTTAAAAACCTAAGCAGCCTAGGGCCTGTATATCTAAAGAATGTATTCTGAATCTGCCCAGTTTTTAAAACATTCAGAAACATTTCTACAGTAAATTAGCACAGCAGAAAAACAATGTGTGTAATGCTGTATTTCTCTCTCTGTCACTGTGTGTATGACAGAGAGTGTTATAACTAGACAATGATGCTGCTTTCAACATTTGTGAAATGTTGGAAAGTATGAAATTAATTAGGAATTGTTGGGCTTGCATGCAACGAAAGAGAAGGGAGTAGGTGGGCAGAGAACAGCTGTCAAAACTGAACTCTTGTGAATGTCCTAGCTTCTGTATTTTACTTTGTTCAGTTGTACAAAGTGGAAGAAAACATGTTTATTTGCTTCAGGCATCAGTATCTTTGGCACTGTTGAAAAGCAAAGTGGAATAAATAAAGACAAGACAGACATGCACACACAAGTATGCAAACACACATATACAGTACACTCATACACGTGTTAACACACGCAGAGCTACATACAGTTTACTGATAGAGGAAGATTCTGTCACTAACACTAACTAAAATACACTAACAAATTAGAAACATAATACACATCCAATTGAACAGATTCCATTACTTTAAAAAGAGATTTCTAATATTGTGATTGCAATTCAATGTCAAAATTGAATTTGAAGGATTTATTTATACAGGAAGACAAGGTGTGCACCACTGTGTTCAAATCCAAAGTGGGAAATGTCTGCACTCACACTGAATCTACAACACTTTCCCCATTTTACAGCTAAATACTGCATACCTTATAAAAGATATTGGTGGCTATTTCTGTGTGCATAGAATTCAGCCAGGACCAAGAGTGTCCAGGGTTCCCAAGGTGTGGCCAAAAAGTCAAGATGGTGGCCATGACAGTGCAATCAAAGCTCTTTCTAGTTTTTATGTGCTGCGATGTACATAAAACCATGTGCAGCCCTGATCGCACCATCACGGCTGCTATCTTGACTATTTTTCACGATACTTTGTGAATACCCTGACCAGGACTGGCCAGTGATGAAGATCAGTCAGTGATGTTGGACTTCATCAAGTCTGAAAGATAGTAATTTCTATCCCCCCAATATTATACCCCCTTTAATATGCTCATTAGCGCCTTCTTCAGATTTTGATGAGGTGGATAAGAAGGATCAATTATTCCTCTTTCTGTATCTAGTAGTGATACTGAGAAAAGCACATTGAAGTTACACCTTGGCACACAAAAAAGGGAATTATTTAGGAAGTGGGACTGACTGTTCCATGTGACCTGGGCATGATGCTATCTAAAGTAGAAAGAAAAAAATAACCCTACCCTTCTAGGTTCAGAAGATACGTTGGTTCTCTGTTGGGTCAACCTGTTGTCCAAATATGCTTACTCTAAAGTTCTTGAGTCCATTCTATGCCTTAACTGACTTACATTCAACCTCCTGTCCTTATGCCCCTTTTCCTACTTAGTATTAATGAGATTAATTCTTAAGGACCCATCCCACCCTGGACATTCTTTTTTTGAACTATTACCCTCTGGCAGACGGTACAGGATGATGAAAACAAGGACGAATAGGCTGAAGAATAGCTTCTATCTTAGAGTTGTAAT